TGACATTTAAAAGGCAAAAATTTGACTTTGAAGATCTGAAATTCTAGTTTTGATATTCGGAATTTCGAGTTTAAAAGTTATTAGAATTTGTTATCTACAAACAAATACTTATATTAGATTTAAAGTTCTGTTTCGAATTAGACACTTTAGTTTTAAATGTCGAAATTCTTTTAGTGAAAATTTTTAGTTTACTGGTAATTGAATTTGCGAGTTGTAAAGTCAGAATTCCAGTTTCAAAACTAGAAAAAAATTGAACGAATTTTCTAAATAGTAAAAATACGAAAGTTTGAAGCACAATTCTAAGTGAAAAAGAGGAATTTCTAAAGTATTTTCCTCCACGGGTCCTCATCCTTCGCACCCACATAAATATTAATCCACCTAACTGTTGATAAAGTCGATTTAAAATTTAAAATTTCAAGTAACATAAGATACCAGGAACATGGAAAAAATGTTTATAAAATTCTGTCAAAAAATTTTGACATTTATTTTTTGAGATTTGACATTTTTTATGTATATTTAATCATAATGATGATCTTGCATATACAGGTGTTCCATTTTTATTGTTACAAATTTAACCAAGTGATAGAATATTCAATTTTAAGATAAAAGTTTCTTATAAACATACAGGGTGCGCCAGTACTCGCGCCCCAGAGACAAATGCCATCCAGGAACATGGAAAAAATGTTAAAAAAAAATTATCTATAAAAATTTCGAAGTTATGAGGGTTTAAAGTTTGCACTTTGACTCTATTTATTTCTGTTGGAAAAATAATTTTACAAGTTTTTTTTTTCTATAGGCTATTAAAAGAGGAAACAAGGAAGCTGTATCCTAAATTGTAACTCTGTTCAATGTTATTTGTGGCTTTTATTGGCAAAATTTTTGTCCCTTTACTAAATAATTGTAAAAAAACATATACAAGATTATCAACATCATTAAATAGATATAAAAAAATGTTAAATGTCAAAATTTTTGACAGATAGAATTTTTTAAACATTTTTTCCATGTTCCTGGTATTTTACCTTACTTGAAAATTTTCTTTGGGGCGCGAATTCTGGCGCATCTGTATATCGAAAACTTTTAAATAAGGGAGTCACATCCCCTGAAAGGGGTGCATCTTTTAAGGGATTTTTTCCAATATTTCAGAAACCATCGTGGATAAAATTACAAAATTTGGTACAACTGATAACCTTTACACACTTAAATGAATTCAAAGATAAAGTGTCGAAATTTTTACTCAGGGGCGTCCAAAACTGGGAGGTTTGGGTAAAAAGTACCGTAACTATTTTGGCGGTTGGTTTTTGCAACTTTCAGCAACAAAATTCTAAATTTCATAGTTTTTCACAAAAAAGAGGTCTCTTGCGTTTTTTCGATAAAAACTTACCGTTTTTGAACAAAATCAGTTTAAAATTTGTTTTACAGACCATAAAAAGGATGAAAAAAATTTGTTTCACCGTTTAAGAGACCCGTGATTAAAACTTTCGACAACTGATATTTGAATTCTTTTAGGTGTTTAAAAGTTATTAGCTGTACCAACTTTTGTAATTTTATCTATTCTGCAATAGTGGAAAAAACCCCATTAAAAACGCATCTCTTTCAAGGGGTGTAGCTCGCTCACGTAACATTTTTTGATATATGTTCATAGGAAACTTTTGTCTTAAAGTTGAATATTCTATCACCTGTTTAAGTTTGTAACAATAAAAACGGAACAACCTGTATACCTTTTTTATAATTATTTCGTAAAGGTACAAAAATTTTGCCAATAAAAGCCACAAATAACATTGAACAGAATTACAATTTAGGATACTGCTTCCTTATTTCCTCTTCTAATAGCCCGTAGCAAAAAACTTGGAAATCAAGACTTTTAAAACATCGTGTTGTAAATAATAGTGGGGGAGACTAAGGAAGTGTCTAGAAATACCGGTTTAAACAATATTTAGACTTGCAAAAAAAAACGTTTAAAAATTTCTTAAATAGAAATGCTCAAATTTAAAAAAAGTAAATTGAGACTTTTCAAAATATTGTACTTGCTACAAAAGACAATTGGAGAGACTAAGAAAGTGTACCGGCTTAAACATTTTCTAGGCTTCAAAAAAGCATTTAAAAATTTCTTGAAGAAATGCTTAACTTTAAAAAATGGCAATCGAGTCTTTTTTAAAACACCGTGTTGCAAAAGTCAGTGGGGGAGACTATTGGAGACTATCAGATTTTGTCAAAATTTATAAAACTTTGAAAATTACTTTTCCAACAGAAATAAATAGTCAAAGTGCAAAATTTAAACTCTCATAACTTGGAAATTTTTATAGATAGAATTTTTTTACATTTTTCCCATGTTCCTAGTATCTGGGGCGCGAGTTCTGGCGCAGCCTGTATATTTATTAAGAAATGTGACATGAGTAATGACCTCAACCATCTCTCATTCCAGGACCTCTTCCTCCTGCACGACCAGTTTCCGCACGGCCCGCGCACCTTTGAGGACCGTCCCGTGGCCGCCCCCCGCGCTTTCGACACCGCCTCTACACCGCCCCTCGACCGCCTCAAGCGCAAACGCCGCTCGATCACCGTCTCCGACCGTAAAGCTCGCAGCGCCGATGTGGGTGTCAGCGGCCTCTACGAAGTCATCTCGGAAGCAGATCTGGCCTTCAGTCCCGACACTCGAGCCGAAGCCGTCACTGTCTTCCAGGGGCGCATCCGCGAGGAGGTCGTCTATGGGATTTGCATGCCGGTGCCCGGCTTCAGCGTGCTGTTCGTTCTGGTAGCCGTCTCCGCCGTAGTGTCCGCCCTCGTGGCCGGCTCCCTATTATACAGATACCAACTCCAGAAGGAGCAGCTCGCTGAACAGGCCCGCAACGGCCCCATCCCCATGGGGCTGTTCTCGGGATGGGGGGGCTGGAGACTTTTGCGCATGAGGGTGGCGCCGGTGGCCCAGAACGGCACGGACAAAAGGATCCGGCAGGTTAACGGTAAGACTGACGAAACGTCGCGATGTGAATAGTGCTCGAGTGGACTTTACGGCCCTATTTGCAGGTTTTGCAACTAAATACTCCAAATAGAACCGTTGCACCTCTTTTAGACTATTTTTTGTTGTTGTATTTAACTGAGATTCAATCATATTGTTTTGTTAGATGATATGAAAGGGCAAATTTGCAATATGATATGTATAGATGATATATTAATGATAGGTTAATCTAGGGGGCACCTACTCACCATTTGGAGAAGGATGGAAGACAGGGAATATCAAAAAATAGACTGATTTTTTAACATCCTCTCAAAACAGTATTACAACACTCAGTGCTGCCACTCTTATACGTTATAACAAGATATTACTACCTAGGATTTAAATTTGGTTAGGTTGGTTTGTGGTGACAAACAAAAAATTTAGGTTAAGTCACCTGTCATCTTGTACAGATAACTCAATTGGTAGTTGACAGGAGGTTGACAGAAAACGTCAACCGTCAACCAACCTTAGGCTTTCAAAATTACTTCTGACAATTCTAGTTACAAACAACATGATAAACGTAATTTTCCTAGGTGGTACTTTCTTGTTGACAAATCTGTGCTCTGTCTCGACCCCAAACTAAGAAGTAAGTTAACTTTTAAATAGTTGTACATACAGAAAAGCCAAATTTGTGTAATTTGTGTGGCTTAGGACCTGAAAATGGCTCAATTAAGCTCCACAGTCATTCATGACAAGTGCAAAGGCTAAGCTCAATATAGTTAGGCAATATATAGTACTTTGGAATTAATTTATTATAGTTAAAGCGAGCAAACTTAAAAGTCAAATAATTAAATGAATTGTACAGTATTAACCTTATGAGTATTTTAATTAGATTTAATTTTATTTTTGTTAAAAATTAGTTTAGCTGTAGTGTACATAATGAATATGGAACCAGAATTACTGCCAGTTCGGTATTGTTTTTTCTTTATTTTTACAGTAATTTGGTTAAATTATGTTTAAGTAATTAAATTATTCCGCGGATTAGAGTACCTAGACTTTTCTAATTCCTTTTGAAAATGTTTGTTACGTTTCTCATATTTATTTCATTCTGATAATTGCTCATTTGTATTGTTTTTTTTATGAAAAAGTTATTGTTAATTTACGATAATTAAGAGGCTATGTTCTGTGTAAATAATGGGATAAATAAATATGTATACAAAAATAGTTGCTTTTATTGAAATACATTTTGTTCGGAATACCAATACAAAATTTCGACAAACTATTTCTATACAGGTACATACTGCAATTATTGTCTTTTTGGATATATAAATAAAAATAAATAAATAAATACGTAACCTAGTCCTAAGTCTACAATTTTTTATTCTAGTACCAAAACCGACCACGACCTTCCGCAAAAATCTCAAACTATTGTATTTACATCACATTCTATACACTTGCCGTATCAGTGATTTAGTCAAAAAATTCCAAAAACAATTTCAAGGTAACCTTACAACTACACGTGTCGGATACAATGCCTGATCACAAACTTCCGACTCAAAGCTTCATTAATTCGTACCGCTCGCCTGTGATTAATAAAGCTTTGGTCCCAATGACCACGCTTGTAGCCCTTAATCTAAACCATTGAGCTTTATTACGAGTAGAAACAACTTTTGGTCGTCGCTTTTTTTTGGTGCCCTGAAGCTTTAGGCCTTAATCTCACACAGAGGAAAGCTGACATCAGACACGAAATGATAAGAATACCTAAAAGCACCACCAAAGTGGCCGCAAATCCGGGCGTGGTCATACAAATCAGACCCGGACTGGCCAGCTCCTCCTTCGCGGGGAATACCATAGTGGTGGTGTTGTTGTTATCATCAAGGGAGAAGGTTAAATCACCTGTTGAAACCACTCGAATGACTCGATTAAGACCCACTTCTTTCTCAGGGTCGTTTTTGACCGACCTGCGAACTCTGCGTTCGTCTCTGGGCCGCCCCCCGTGCAAATAGGCCTCAATTGAGAGCGGCGGAGGCGGCGGTGGGCCATACCCCGCATCGGGGGCACTATGAGCCAACTCAAGAATCCCATTATGACCCAAATTCGTTTCGGAGCACTGATCCGGGCATTGGTACCGACAAATCTGGATGGTACACTGGAAATGGACTTCCATACTATCCGGGAATTTGAAAGCTTGGAAATGTGCATAGGACAGCACAGAGGCGGAAGCCCCGAAATTCTTGATTTTGGTGAACCTTGACATGAGTTTGGGACGAGTGACGCAACCCTTCTGGTCAACCAGCTGGATTGGGGCTCTTTTACCGTCATGTGCCATACAGTTTCTGACCAACATGTCGAATTTACTGTCGTCGTCTTTTATAGCAAGGACCATGGTCATAGTTTGGCCGATTTTGACCAAACCGGAGACTTCGCTAGCCCATGGGCCTTTCCCGACCTGGATTTGCATCCAGCAACCGACATTATCACCCGCAAAGTCAGTCCTGACTACATCAAGCATGTCGACTGGGAAAGGTCGGAAAGTAACTGATTTTTCGTATTGGTCATGCCACGTGCAACGTAGTTTCCGGGCTTGGTCCCAGACTTCCTGCACCTGAGGGTCGTACTGGATCACTATGATGTTTTCGAAATAAGTCCCAGATCCCGACTCCGCTCCATACCCATAAAGCCCATTTTCGGTGTTCCCAGATGTCCCACAGGCGTGAATCCCGATTTCGAAATGGGCGGAAGTCCGCCCAAGCCCGGCAGGGAGATGCACGCAATGGACATTACTATAGTGACCTTTACTGAAGACAATCCCGTAGAAAGGTTTATCAAAACCGATATAGACCTTCATTAGATTTTTCTCACACTTGACATCAAGCGAGATGATTTTGGGCATGTCTGGAACGGGGGCCGGCCATATATCCCCCCCTGATGTCCCATATTTGTCCATGGCTTGCTTTGGGGGAGGTGGAGGAGGCCCATTGTAGGCATTCTTGTTGTCATAGATTGGTTTGTTGTTCTTGAATGGTTTGTGGGGGTAGTGTTGGTTGTTCCTGGGAGGTATGTTTATGGGTCCTCGTGGAGGGCCGTTATAGGCGAGTTTTTTGGGAGGTTGGTCTTGTTCTTCGAGAGCGAGTTGGTCCGGGTTGGTGTCGTTGTCTTCGTTGCTGTGTTCTTGGGTCTCTTCCGAGCCAGGAACGGCCTCGACCACTTCGACGTCTTCACCCAGGACGGCCAGCTGGAAATAGAAAGAATTCGTTGAAATGGATATGGAATATGGTGACCCTGTCGATATAACGGGCCCAGACAAGGACAGGTCAGTCGGCCAGCGTTTATTGCGCGTCCACTTCACGCACACGCCGCACCTTAGGGCACCATTCCCAATACATTCCATCAAAAACAAGGAATTGGAGTGATTTTAATTGTAACGGATGTGCTTTTTATTCTCAAAGTCGGCAGTAGTAAACATAGGTGTCGTATAAAATTATACAGGGTCGCTAAAAAGTGTGGATACAGTTAAATATTATAAAAACTATTCTTCAAAACTTATTGAAATTTGAAATATGCTTAAAAGTATCTGAATTCCATCGCCTCAGATGTTTATCAAACTTCTATCTTTATTTGTTCTGGGGATACAAGGCTATTTTTTTTAATGTCAAGAAGGGTCAAATTTAATATTTTTTTACATTTTAACATTTTTTCTGAGTTCTCTGATAACACATGCATACCTTATCTTAAAAAAAATATGAAACTAATTAAATTTTGAAAAATGTAATTTTTTTAGCCTTGGGAGTTCTAACAGTGATATTTATCTAAAATTTTGACTATAGTCATAATCGTTTTTGGATTACTCAAGTGATTTTGAAAGAGTTTTTATCAGACTTCCCTCTAATTAAATTTAACCGTTTTTGTAATATTTATACATACTTTTTTGAATTTTTTTAATTTGCATCTTCCTCTCCAAAAATCGATAACTCTACCATTTTTAATTATTTTGAAATCGTATTTGGGCATATGAAAAAGAAAGGTTAGATCTTTTCTTTAGTGTATTTATGATTAGAAAAATAATTAACACACCTCCAAAATTTAAGGTTACGTTTGGGAAATTTCAAATACCCGTAACTGAGTTTTTTCAAATGGAAGGCCCCAATGTTTTCTTCATTAAATGAAAAAGAATTTAATTCTGCATCGATCTGTATCAACATTCCCTATACCTAAATTTAATGATTTCCAAGTTACTTTGACTTTTTTTACAATAGAAGAAATTCATTACTATCCATGGTAGTTTTCGCATAGTTTACCTCGAAAATATTTCTCACTGAAAAAACGCCAAGGTTTTTTACAATTGTCCTATTCTTTTCGTAAATACAAATTAAATTTATTTAATCTAAATTTGAATAACTTTGATATTCTCTTTTTTTTTATTTCTATTACAACCTGTGCTAAAGTATCTATGGCTACTGAAATTCTCACAATATCAAAAAAATTACTATAACTTGAAAACTATCGAATATAGGTATAGGGAATTTTAATACAGATTGACGCAGAATTCTAATTTTTTCTCTATTTAGTAAAGAAATTAATTGAACGTTTTACATGGGTGTGATGCGATGGAGCTATCGCGTTTTAGTAATAGATGAAAATTGGGGTCTTTCATTTAGAAAAACGGAGTTAAAAGTATTTGAAGTTTCCTTAACGTAAACTTACCTTTGTCTCTCGTATATCCAACTACGGTTTCAATATAATAAAAAATGGTAGAGTTGTCAATTTTTGAATTGAAAAAAAAATTGAATAGAGATTGTAATCCAAAATCCCAAAAATTTTCAAAAGATCTAAATATTTCGAAAACGGTTAAACTTATAGCTATAGGGAAGGCTAATAAAACCCCTCTGAAAATCACTTGAGGAATCCAAAAATGCAATAAAAAACATAACTTTCTATTTAAAATAACGAAGTTGATATCCACTTCCGGTGTAAGAGGAAGTACCGCCATCTTGAAAATATTTTCATTGAACAGAACCTAACCGACTATAGCTATAAACAAAATTTTAGATAAATACTGTTATCAATTAAATATTTGGTTTTTGAATGGTTTTGAATGAAAGCTTTCGCTTTCCAAAACCAATTACCAAAAAATCCGGTAACAGTACCCGCAATTAGCCGGTAAACGCGTTGTTTTTTTTAAATAATTGCAAATTGCCTTACACATGCGAATTTAGGTTTTAACGGTTGAGGTGAATTAACATTCGATTTTGAGTCTCTAATTTAGACCATACATTTCGATCGGACGAACCAACCGTAACAATGATTTGAGGTCAGAAATCAGAATTTTTAGTAGGGGAAAGTGGATATGGACCCTTGGAGCAAACGTACGTTTAACTGTATATCGAATTTTAATTAATTTTGTGGGTCGATTGAGACAATGCGAGATTATTCTTAACGTGACTATTTAATTGATTGGCGGCGGGGCAATTAAGTGAGTCTTGCGGCGCCGTCTATTTGTTTGTTTTCTTCTATCTTGTTGGTTTAATGATATTGTTAGGATAATTACACGCTCCCGTGCCTCTGAAACGGCGGAATTGATGATGCGCGAGCTGGATTACGTGAGAATAAAACGCTGGCTTTTATTCCCTTTCTAGAGTTTTTATAAAAGAAAATTTTTGTATGTACCTCTCAATTAATCAGAAACTCTTCTCTCTTAAGCATTCTAGGATTTTGATTCTACTTGTAAATACCCTGCATAAAATGTATACCAAATAGCAGTTTACGATCTTTAAACATAGCAAAAAGCAACAATTATGGTTTTATTCTTATAAACTCAAAAACTATTCATGTTCTGTCTGTCTGCTTGAACGTTTCATTAGTTCATTACACGCGACATAATTTGGTAAATTAATTCTGCAATCTTGAAATTTTAAAATTCAGAACTGATCTAAAAAATGAACTTTGAATCTGAGCCAGTAACGGATTTAAATAACAATAAACTTAAAAAAGAAAATACAAAATAACAAATTGTTTTATTGAATATGTACACTATTCAAATAACAGTTTTAAGTCGACGATATTAAAAAACAAGTTTCATAAGACCAGTCTTGAAGCACGAATTCAAGTTTAAAAAACGAGTGGCACAATCACGAGTTATTTTAAAAAGGAGTGCTTCATGGTCTTATGAAACAACTATTTTTTGTAATTTGCTTTCTTTATGCCGTTTTTAAACATTTTTTTTTAATTTTAACCGATTTATTGATTATTGTGACGATTAGTAATGTCAATTTTAAAAGTCAAAATTTGATCTAGTCGTCTTTTGTTTTATCTAAATTCTCTCAAAAACACGAATATGAAAGATAATAGATAAATACGTGAAATCACTGGACATTTCCTGTTCTTGACACATTTTGTAATCTGGATCGTCGTCTGCGTTGATTGACAGTAATACAAAGTCTATCCAATAGGAGAACTTGTCAAAAATGGTAAATTCCGGTAGATGACGCGCGTGTCACGCTCCAAAGAGTAATTAGTGAAATTTGAAAATTTTCAGGAAATTAAATATGACAATTGTTGACATATTTAATCAAATATTGATCTGTCACACAACCAATCTATTTTTTTAGCTTAAGAAGGCATTATCAATAGTATCATTCTTTCAGTTATTAAATTATAATAATAATAATATTATTATAAGTATTCAAACTTGCTGTGTTCCAAACTGTGGACAAGGGGAGAAAGAGGATGTTACTTTACATCAATTTCCAAAAAGTAGAAATCAAAAGAACAAATGGAATAATACAATATTTGGTACCATCGGCAATATACCCCCAAATGTCGTGATTTGTGGAAAACACCTTGAAACATCGAGCTATTATAAAAACAAAAATTTTTTACCAAATGCAGTTCCATCCTTTCTGTTGAATTATAAAAGAATTACTCCGTTTCAGATAATCTCTACCACTTCCATTAATTCAGAACGTAAGACGTGAGAAACACCTGCACCGTGTCTCTAGAGTCATTTGACAAGAATTGTATAATTTCAAGTCCATTTCGATTTGATTTTGACCAACAAAGCAATTTAAAAGTAGGTGATACTCATAATTTTGATTTAAAAAATGTTCCAGATGCAATAAGTTCGAAAGAAAAATTTATCTTAATAGATAAAATTAAAAAATTATAAAAAAGTTACAGGAAGCAAATATAAGATTTCAAAAGTTGAATAAGCTGTACGAAAATATACCTGAAAAACTGAAGAAAATGCAGGAAAAAATTGACAACATTGTGCAGTGCAAAGGACTTAGAACGGAGGTCTGTGTTTTTACTTGAGCAAAATTTATAATTATTCCCTAAATAAACCCAAAATGGTCTAAAGTTACAGTACGTCATTGTATTGCCTGGAGGTACATTTCTCGAAAAGGTTATGAAATTGCAAAAAGAAGTCAATTTTTAAAAGCTCCATCCAAAACAACTTTAAACAGATATATGGTAAATTCTCAAGGGATTTTCTCAAAGCAAAAAAATAGAGAGTAATAGAAAACTAATTAATAATAGAGAATAAAATTAATCCTTGTGTTTTTTATTTGAAGTATTGAAGAAATAATAAAGAGTTTTTGTTATTTTAATGTTCTTGTAAATTTGTTAAGATTAAAAATAACTATCTAACCCAAATGTAAATCTTAATTATTTTTAACAAATAAAATTATATTTGCTTATAAAATGTTATATTTTTTTATGTGTTTGGTCTAGTTCTTAGAAAAAACAATCAACAAAAAATTATTATAAAACCCATAAAACACAAAAGTAAATTTTTGTATACAAAAATTTATCAAGGTTTCAAACCATTGGTCAATGACCAACGGTCATTTTTTTGGCATTGGATAGACTTTTTATAACTGTCAATCAATACAAACGACGATCTGGATAAGTATTTTAGGGGCTATAGATCCGCCACTGATCTGAGCAATGTTAAATGAAATGTTAAATTCTTGTTGTTTTGACCAAATTTGAAGTTGATCTAAATCTAATCTAATCCTGTAATAAAAATTTATTTGGACTGACAATGTTGTGGGGTTGCAAAAATCTACAGCTGTGTAAAAACTGGTAGTAAAATGTATTATTTAATAAAAAAAGTAGTTCAACTATTGCCTCTAGCCTGCCTTTAGCGTTTGTTCACCAAACCGAGATTTAAAAACGATCAAAAAATACAAATCTCCTGTTATAAAATGTCTTAGATCAGAGCTAGTGACAAAA